CCACGGAAAACCACACTCACTGGATAACTTGAACTTAGGAGTTTGAGACTAGCCTGGACAACATGCTGAGATCCTGTATCTACAAAACCTACAAATATTAGCCAGGTATGGTGGCACACATCTACAGTCCCAGCTACTTGGGAGACTGAGGTGGGAACGTCGCTGGAGTCTGGGGAGCGAATGTTGTGGTCAGTCAAGATCACATCACTGCACTTCAGCCTGGGTGACAAAGAACTTCTCTAAAAAAGAGAGAGAGAGAGAAAAAAAAAGTGGGGGAGGGGCGGGACTGTGTGCACACACACACAGAGGAAAGATGGCCTCAGAAGATCGAGGCAGAGGTTGGATGATGCAGCTACGAAATACAGCTACAAGTTTAAGGATGCCGATGACTGCTAGCAACTACCAGAAGAAGGGCTCTTCCCTAAAGCCTTCAAAGGGAGCATGATCTTGTCAACACACTGATTTTAGGCTTCTACCTTCCCAAACTGTGAGAGAATGAATTTATGCTTTTTTCTTGAACAGTTAGTTTATGGCACTTTGTTACAGCAGTCCTTGGAAACTAATAAAAGAAGGCATCAAGATTTTGGTTAGATTTTGTTAAAAAACTGGTTGAAATCTTGGCTCAAATTATTTAACAAATGAAGAACCAGAAAATCTTAGCTTTACTGAAATTATTGTAAGCAACTTTTGCAAATGGGAAGACTTTGAAATATATTCTTCAAGAGAGAAATTTTTAAAATGATAAAAGCTCAAATAATGTACCAAATTTAAGATGAAATTTTACAATATCAATTTGGTGTATCTTAACATGAAGAATAAAGAGTTTAATGATTCTCAGCTAAATAAGTAAGCCTATAATTCAGGCCTGGGGTTATCATGGAACCACAGTCCCTTATCCAAAGGAAGAGGCCCTTCCTACCAGCAGAACCAACTAGCATTGCTCTACTGATGTATGAACACTCAGAGAAGCTGCAATATGATCACTTCCTTTGGGTTTAGGTTCTGAATAACTGTCAGGTCTCAAGATTGGGCAAGCCATCTTTTCAATCACATGAACATAGCCTGCAAATTAAGTCAGTACAGAAAAGAATAATAATGAGAGATGGACAAAAGAGTTAATACCCACCTTCAAGCTCTTAAATACAACTGTATTTCACTCTTGTAATTTGTTATGACATAATTTAAAAAATTCCTTTCTTGTTTTTGTCAGTTTTAGAGAAAGTTTATTTCTGTTACTTGGTACTATGAGAGCCCTTACAAAATCAAATCCACTTCATGTATGCCATGTTTCTATGCTAATAGATCTTTCACTACTTATAGCTACAGAACTTAAATTTTTGAAAAAAAAATCTGAGACCAAGATTTTGAATTACACAATTTATGTTATGGTCAGTTTGCACTGCCATAACAAAGTAACATAATAAACTGGATGGCTTAAACAAAAGAAATTTGTTTCTGTTAGTTCTAGAAGTTGGAAAGTCCAAGATTAGGGTACTGGTAGATTCAGTATCTGGTGAGGGTCATTTTCCTGGTGTGCAGACAGTTGCCTTCTTGCTGAATCCTCACAAAACAGAGAGAAAGAGATCATCTCTGTGGTGTCTCTTATAAAGGCATTAATTCCATTCAGAGGTGCTTCACCCTCATGACCTAATTAACTCTCCGAAGCTTTTCCTCTAGATACAGTCACATTGGGGATTAGGTCTTAAACATATGAATGTAGAGGGGACACAAACATTCAGTAATAATGATTAAAATAACAGGAATTCAAAAACTTGGTAGGTCTTGTGAAAATTAGGAAAGTGGAACTCCAATTTCTAAGTATAATATATTGAAATAGATGGAAAAATTAGTGAACCCGTCACTCCAAAGTGTTTCTGAAATTCTTCACACCGCACCTGTTTTACATGATGAAATAATAAATTTTTTGTTTATCTTCATTAATGGCTACCTTAATTTCCCATTCTTTCTTATTGTTTCACCATGACAAAGATTCAAGTTTAATGTCAACTGGAAATACAAATTACAACCAACCAACCAAGCAAACAGAAACCTAGAAAAGGCTGCCTTTAATGTATAGCAGAGTATATGACTGGTATCTTAGGATCCGAATATGGTCAGTGAACTTTGGTTCGTTGGGGAGAACAGGACTGCACACTGTATATTAAAAATATTGACATTAAAATCAGGAGATTTTACACATGAATCCACATATCTAGTTTTTTTTTTCTATAAGTCCCAGTATCATGTCACACTTAGATTTTGTATACCTGAATATCAACAATGGATTTGAAAGAACAGTGGAAGGGGGAGGCATGCAATCTTCAGTTCATGTTTTTTTCGCAGCCATTATCTTACTCATGTGAAATGAGGCAGTACAAAATAGTTTTTAGCCATAGTGAAAACAGAAACTTTCAGAAACATCTATAGATAGATATTTTAATTCTAATTATACATCCATGTGTTTACAGACAAAGCATAGATGACTATCATTTCACCTATTCACCCTGAATAAATATTAAAAGGTATTTTTTAAGTACTTTTATTTTCTACCCAAGTGTAGTTGACTAAAAACTCTAGTGAGAGGCACGGAGAAATTGAAATTGCCCTTTTGAGCTAGGGAAAGTGGAAACAGCTAAGCTTGGTTTCAAAGTAAGATGGTAACAGGTAAACTTCTAAACCAAAGTGGTAGCTAAAATTTTAGAGATAATTATTTCATGAGAAATGGTTAAACCAGAAGTGATTTCTGTTTGAGACTAATGATCATATCTCCAGGCAAAAAATTAATGACAGTAACACTGGAGTGATTTTTGATTTAAAAATATAAATATATTTATGACTGGTTTTTTATTTTATTTTATTTTATTTATGACTGTAATTCTGGTTCAAGCTATATAAAAATTAATGAACCTTCTTACCTCCCAATTTCAAAATAAGAAGTTGTTTATGAATTCATATTCCCTGAATGAAGAGAAAAAACAAAGATCTATAGGACGGGTCCTATTATAACATCTTGTATCTAATCCTGGTTCTTACCATGAGTCTGTAAGTTTTGGATATTTACTTGAAGAAAGGGAACTAACTGATCTTCTTACAGATATTTGAATCCATACTCTTACCACAAATTCCTTGGAATGAATAATGTCTCCATGATCTGGTGTTCGTGTGGGGATTTCTTTGAGCCTAGTAATAGACGGTGTTGCCAACAGAGTTTGCCTCCTTTTTAGCCTAATGACAGACTAAGCCATTCATGGTAAGTTCCCAGTTTAGAGACTATAGTTTATTTTTATTTTTATTGATTGATTGAGACAGAATATTCAGAACACTGTTTTATGTATGTATGTGTGTGTGTGTGTGTGGATAAAACACCTGATATTTTATGACTTAAAAATCTGAAGAAACCAATTTTTGGTGCTGCCCAGACTGGAGAGTAATGGCATGATTTTAGCTTCCTGAAAACTGTGTCTCCTGGGTTGAAGCGATTCTCCTTCCTTATTCTCCCAAATACCTGGTATTACAGGCACCTACCACCATGCCCAGCTAATTTTTGTATTTTTAGTAGAGACGGGGTTTCCCGTTTTAGCCAGGCTGGTCTCGAACTCCTGACCTCAGGTAATCAATCAGCCTGCCTCGGCCTCCCAAACTGCTGGGATTATGTGAGCTACTGCACCCGGCCCTAGTATATAGTTTAAATACGTATAAACTGAACTAATCCCCATATTGCTTCCCTGCTGTATGCAGTAAGGAGGTCAACAAAGACTGACTAGAAATCATTATCATGTCTTTTTCTATAGTAAAAGAATAAATCAAAAGCAATACTGCCTCTATAGGGAAAATGCCATGAATATTAAAGACTAAAACAATACAAGTGTGGTGAATCATATTATAATATTATTCTGTTTTCTTATTTGGCCTTTGCAGATATATATTTTATGAAGATGCGGGAGCCTGCCTCCTCCATTAATTTCCTGCAGGCCCAGTAGTCTCAGTATTTTGACAGGCTTTCTCTAGATCAGAAAACAAGTTGTTTCTCCTTGTACTTCCTAACATAGAGAGAAGGCAGGGGACCCAATGCTAAATTGGTTTCTTCAGATTTTTAAGTCATAAAATATTAGATGTTTTATACACACACACACACACATAAAACAGTGTTCTGAATATTCTATCCATACATATAGAATACATTATCATTTTACATTCTTTCTATATATGTAGTAGAATACTAATGTATGTAAATTTGGTAGAATACTGAGCATCTGGTGTCTATCTAGATGGTCTAGGCCATGGGGTGAGAAGCTTTTTTACTTGTGTGTTATGATCTGGTGGATCCAATGGGTCATTAAAGGATCATGGCAGATTGGTTGGTGTGGGGAGTTTGGACCAAACCTTACCAGGTAAATCTCACCTGGGGCTTTGAAAATATTGGAACAAGTAACTATTTTTATTTAGAGAAATCGCTACTACTTCGGCTCTGAAGGACACCAGGTTACTGTGTTCCTGAGTTGATCTTTTAATGACTATTATCTATTTCTCTAGCTATAAACTTATGTATAACCAACCGGATTGGACTCAAACAGGTCCAGATGGCATAAGTAAACTGTATAATCAGGTTGATCAAACTCTAGTGTGCCCACAACTGCCACACTGTTGTTTCTCTCCGCAGCTCTGACTATGTCCTCATGGAAAATGTTCTACAAACCACTGACTATAAATTAAAGACATTGGACAAGTTTACAAATGCCTTTTATGATCTGGCTGCTAGTGCCAGCCAGAAGTGAACAGTTCTACAAATCTTCACTAAAATGTGATTCAAAGTGTCATAAAAAATTAATGAAAACAAAATGTTACATACATTACACTATTAACAGGATTATGTAAATACTGGTGATGGAATAATGACAGAAAATATGGATTTTAATTTAATGTAAACAAATGTTATATGCAAAGACTCTTAAGATGATTATGTAAATACTGCTGAATAATGACACAAAATAGGGATTTTGCCTTAAAGTGTAATTTATTGAAAAGGAAAAAGAAAACAATCTCTGTCACTGCATAAAATTATTTTAAATGATGGCACTTACAGAATTGACAATTCAAAGATCTTTTAAACAAAAAGTCCACTAGAGAAACTTAGTAAGGACTTTAATACCCTCTGATTAGGTGCCCTCCATATGGCACGATACAACTGAAATTTGGACAAGAAACTCTCTAGGAAAATTTAGCTTAAGAAAAAGAATGATATGCTATTAAGTAGATAACTCAAAAAGAACAATTTCCTTCAATATGGGATTTTACTATTCTAAAACAACAGTCAAGTCTTCAGATAAGATGGTTTTTCATGAGAGGAGAAATTCAGAGAATGAACTTTTCAGTCATATCTGTAAATAAAAATAAATATGTGGTGAGTTATATCAAATATTTTTGAAGAAAAGAAAAGTTCTTATGATAGAACACATTTTACTATTTTCTCCTCATATTAGACAAGCTCACAATGTTATTTATGCTTTCCTGTTACTGACATACATATCCATCACTCTTGGTTTTTAAGCTGCAACAACAATTTTATTACCAATTTTTTTTTTTGTTTTGTGGTATTGTTGAAGATATGGCAAGGCAATTAGTGTAAAAGGCTTTTGCATAGGTTAGTGTTTGATCATTTTCCTTGGTTTAATGTATTAGAAGGGAAGTTTCCGCTACTGGGAAAGGAAACACACACACACACACACACACACACACACACACACAGAAGCTCCAATGTAGTGGATGAAAATAATTAAACTTACAGACCTTTTCAACTGGTGTTGACAGACTAAAACTTTATTTCACTATGTGACTTGTTAAGGGTGTCTATTTGACCATAAAAAGTAAGATCAATGGTTAGATACATAATTTCCAAACTTACCAAGGGCCCTAACTGTGGAGTTCCTGAGAATTTAGTTAATTCTTCTGAAATCACGAAAATTGTTAAAATCATGTGATTAAAGGAAGTCAGCAATAAAAGTTCGCTAAATCAAGAAAAATACACTTCTACCTATTCAGTGTTTATTTTGCCCAAAATATGCTTAACAAAGATTACTGCATTTGATCACCCTAGGGATTATAATAAATAAGGATTATTATAAAATTTCAAGTAAGCAAAAAGGTCAGGATTTGAATTTTGGACTACTGAACACCAAAATATGTGCTATATTACCTACCCAGTGTTTTTATATTTATCACTGGTATAACCAGGAAGAAGTCACTTAAAGATTAGTAAAAGCTCATAAAGGATATTGTTGAATTACATGTCAGAAGTCTTTATATTTTTAACTTGAAGTTATTTTCCACTCTCATTAGAATAAATATCACTTATAGAATATATAATACTGCTCCATATGTTACTAAGAAATTGATAATATTAGCCACAGCTGCCAGAAAATATTGTCAATTTTCCATTTCAGAACATATTTGTCCTTTACAGCAGGCATTGATTTGCCATGTTTAATCTAAATCTGTTCTTATGGTATGTTCTCCAAGCTATTTTATTTGATTAGTTTGGTAGAACATCAAGATGTAGTAATTTAAATGAACTTACCACCATTGTAGCATGGCGTTAGTTTTTTCCTAATTCTCAGGAGCGATGGGATTGGAGATGTCGGAAAATGGTGGGAAAGGAACATACTGCACGATTTGTGGATAGTACCAAACAGCATAGGGGTAGGCAGCAAGTTGGCTGAGCTGCTGGAAAGGCTAGAGGGGAAAACATTTGAAAAGCAACAGTGTATGAGCAATTGCTGTTTTCAATCCCTGAAAAATATCAATACATTTCATTCATTTCCAAGATGCCTGTTAGCATCATAAAAAATGATTACTCTGTGAGGGAAAAGAATAAATCAAAATCTTCTATGGTGAACTATGTTGAAGAAACTTTCAGAAGGTGCTCTTTTAAGAAACCTGAGGGGCAAGGAATAAATCACTTTTTTGAGGACATCATTTAAGACTGAACTCCAAGAACCCACATTACTCACAGGTCCACTTATCAGACCCCAGAAGAGACTAGTAGCATACATTTCATTATTATTTACTTTATAAACTCATGGGTATTTTTGCTATTTAGATCTATAATTTTCCTTAAAGCCACTTGGGTCAAAGTACAGGCCCTGTACCCAGGGTCAGCACAGCTGTCTTTCAGAAATGCCAGGAACAGAAAATAATAATAATAATAATTCTTTAATTCCTAGGCCAATGTTCTTTTCAAACACTAGAGTTTTGGGGCCAAAACTATTTTCCTTTCTATAATTTTGGAATAGTTGCCTCTGTTAATTCATAATGAGATTACACTTAATTTTTTCAATGTACTAACAATTGAATTGCACATAGAAACAGTTACATATAATTCTCTACCTATTCAGGTGGAAGTTCTTTGCTGGAATTAGGAAAAACTTTAAAAGCATTTAAAATTTTACTATGGACACCTGCCTATGTAAAGATTAAAACAAATATAATATCTGGAACTTTTTAAGATAAAATAAGATAACTACCTCAAGACAGAACTGGGCCTGTTCTTAACAGAGAGACAGAGACAGAAAGAGAAAGAGAGAGAGAAGAGTGAATCAGAGACAGAGACAAGAGAAATAAGTTTCTATGATTTGAATGTGTTTCCCAAAGATCATGTGTTGGAAACTTAACATCCAATGCAAACTGATGAGAAGTGGGACCTTGAAGAAGTGATTAGTTCACAAGGGCTCTGTTCTCACAATTTAATTAATGCTATTATCACAAGAGTGGGCTCACTGTTGCAAGAATGAGCTTGTTTTGACTGAGTTTGACCCTCTCTTGTGTATTCTTTTTGGCTCTTTCCCCATGGGATGATGCAACAAGAAGGCCCTCGCTTGACAGATACTGGCCCCTCTATCTTGGACTTACAGTTTCCACAACTGTTAACCAAATAAATTTCTGTTCATTGTAAATTACTCAGTCTGTGATAGTCTGCTACAGCAGCGCAAAACAAATTAAGGCACTAGTTTAGTAACTTACATCCAACTGAACATGAGGTTAGGTCAAATTATTGCTACCCCAAACCCTCATTAATATGAAAAATGCATATATAGTTGTCACAATCTTTTAAAAAATAATTACATTGACTTGATGGGTCATGTCTGTAATTGCAGCACTTTGGGAGGCCAAGGTGAACGGATCACTGGAGGTCAGGAGTTTGAGACCAGCCTGGCCAACATGGGGAAAATCTGTCTCTACTAAAAATACAAAAATTAGCTGGGCGTTGTGATGCGTGCCGGTAATCCCATCTACTTTGGGATGCTAAGGGATGAAGATCGCTAGAATCCAAGATGAAAAG